TAACCCTAACCTAAGTTTATCTTTGAAACAATGCACTAACGTTTTTTGCTCAGGATCTAGCTTCAACCAGGCATTAAACACTTGACATTGCCTTTAAACCGAAAGGTTTCTGAGTGTGGAGTGACGCTTCAAAGTCGATCGGTTCACACCAACATTACGCAACTGACGATCAAATTATTGAAAAACCTGGAAAGTGCCCCTGTGGGACTCGAGAAATACAGTTTTGGTATATTAATGGCGGCAGTCTTGAGCTTAACCTCGTCGTTTATCCCACAGAAGCATGAGATCATCTCAGTGACAGACAAACAGCACTGAGCGAACTTTTTATCATTTCGGCATTTTATCACGCATTGTGGGGACCACAAATCTAGCTCGAAATTGATCGCCTATAGAATAATTTATCCGAAATATCCATATCACACATATTGAACTGAATGAAGCATAAAACGTTATGCAAGATTTGGTTGCCACGGAGCCAAAGCTTTGCGGTACCGGACCCTCAGTGGGACAAGGCTGGCTTACCAAGCAACGTTTTGTGAAGCTGGTTCTTGATGCAAATTTCGGTTAACTAGATCCAAAACCAATTAACATTCTCATTCTGGGAAAATTAAAAAATTCAAAGAAATTTAAAAAGTTGTGAACCGAGAGCTTCCGAAATTCAAAGTCACTACTGACTGACCTCTCGGACAGTGTGCTCGTAATACGTATTGTTGTCAGCAGAGGATTTCTCTGGGGTAGCAACGCATCCTCGTAAGAACACACCGGTGCTGCGCCCACTCGCATCTATGCGACTCCGTTATCGTCCATCAGACAGTAGTTAGAGAGGTGTGCATCAAACATCTGATAATAAGAGCAACACCGGCTTGTCCGTAGGTAAGCCACACTATACCCAAATTATGAGTAACTGCATGGTGGTTCCATATACATATACGTGATCCAAAAATCAGTCTGACATATCAGCAGGATCCGGAATTTCCACTGCTAATTTTTAAACCGCTCAGTTCGCTGACCTAGCTTGAGACACCAGATGGTGACAACAGTAGTCAGCCCGATCAGGCATGGCAACCGAGACGCATTGACTGATGTGATGACAAAATGCAATGTATGGAACCACCCATGCTTACAGAAAACCAAATAGCCAAAGCTGCTAATCATTCAAACAGCAAAATCAAGTGAGGATACCTGGAAGATGATCAGATTGACCTAAACGTATAGCCGCATTAAGTTGGAACGGTGACTAAAGCCAAGTGTACTCTAAATGAACTATATGAAGGATTTAGACACCCCCAATCGAGAAACACTGTGGAGAGTCCTCTTCAAAAACGCATATGCAAAACCCGTACTGCCGAGTAGGATCCAAGGTGCGGACAATTTTTGACTTCAGCTGATTTCGAAATCCTGGGTAATTTAAACCAGTGATAAGTCCTGTCCCTTTTGTTAATCACAATTTAACTAACTGCCATCACGGATGTGACCTCGTGCAAAACGATTTTGGTGTGAAATTTGATTGTCCGATTGATGGGCATGTGCTGACTCTCAGAAATTTCAATACAAAAAGCCTCGCCCACCAGATAAGATTCGCATCCTTATGTTAGCAGACTGCGTAGATATACTGGAGTAAAGCTCACGGCTGTTGTCGCGCAGTTTGGTCTGGGAACCAATGCGAACAACACACTACTTCGGGGCTAGCCGATGCCAGATAGGATAGCAAATCCACTTCACTCATAAAAGCCAGAGAAGAGTTTGTAGACTAGAGCGCAAACTTTCGCTTCCTCGGGGGTAAATTATCTGCCACCTTAACCACCGGCTATCAGCTGATATTCCATATTTCTAAAGCAAACGTTTTGGCAAGCACGAGGTCTGCACTCTCGGGTCAGAGGGGTGAAGCTTTTAATTCATAATGGTACCATCTAAACTATTGTTCATGTGGACCAGGCCGGCTTGTTTTACCAGAACTCGGTCGCGTTTCTGCCGATTGCGCTGGTGTGGTCAGCCACGAGCTGGCAAGCCGTCAACTAAACGGTGACCGTTTAATTGATTTACTGAACCCACTTCCGTTTTATGGAGTTAGATTAGCCTGTTATCTCCATGACTATCGCAGCGGATCCAAGAGCTATAAAAGTGCATTAGCACTATTAGCGGTTTTGTGAAGTAAGCCATAGATAACTTGCAACAAACCATGCGGATGCGCTGTAGGGTCGGCCTATCAGGAATGTCTCCCCATTATGGTGTTCAGCTGCTTAGCTGGTCCCATACGAGCAGGCAGATTCCCAGAATAATGCCTTGGGTATTCCGAAACTCTATGCAAGAAGTGATTACCTTTGAACTTCACTGTATACAATCGGCTAAATCCAGCACTAGCTGCTCAGATGTGTGTTCTTATGTTGATATCACGTACAATTTGCTACCATACCTTTGCATTTCGTCGGCATTTTCGCTACCAGGCGCAAAAATACTATGTGGTAGATGTGAGTAAAAGTGGGAATCCGATTCTCTTTGCCTTCGCATCCATTTGGCAGAATCTGTTCACAAAAACATTCAAAAATACACGTCGCGCAACCGTAGTCGACTTAGCGGTTTGGAGAAAAAAAATTGACTCTCATATTCAATGAGGCAAAATCTACTAGCAGTGTCAAGTGGATGGGGTTCCCAGACTTCCAGCTTTTGCCTACAAGTACAAACCCAGATAAAGTGTCTGTTAGGCTTGATCCATTACCTCAAATTTCGATGGTGAGAAGTGCAAAACAGGTTGACCAGCTTCCTTTAAAAGTTTCACCTACACGATGAAATTCTTACGAATAGACCATATCGTATGCATGGCACGTAAAACATCATTCCTCATTAACAGTTCCAAGTCAAACTCCAGAATAGTGAAGATGAAGGGAAATGAGGGGGTAAAAGCACCGGAGTGTTTTTGTGATGATTCTGGATAAAAGCTCATTGTGCTGCTGCAATATCCGTTCAGCGTACTGATTAAGCTCAGAGGTCTCCAGTATGTGTGGTGATATTTGATACGGGTAATAAACTGTCATTATCTCAGCCAAGATCTCCGAAATCAGCCTTTCCTTTGCAGTACAGTAGAACGAACACGACTAATACTTTGAGACAGCGATAGCGCAGATAGACAACTCACAACCTGGTGGTTCGTTCTTAGAAGAGATTATATTATCATTAGCGGCTCGAGTGCTGTGATTGAACAGAAACTGAAGTATTCACTGAAACATATTTTCCCTTAACTCTTGCTCACACACTTATGTCTGGATTCAGTTCATTGGAAAATTAGGAATTGGGAATATTCCCGAGCTTCTTTCCTTTGGGGCATGGACGTTAATCGTATTTGTATTGTACAAAACATGCAACAGTAACAGCTTTTACTGCGGGATTTAAACGAGACATTCAGAGCAAGTGTGAAAAAACTTTGAGAAATACATGTTCCCCCGCCATATTGAAATGACTTAGCACCTTAGTGTCCGCAGACGCTGCAATGACGAAAGGTATTTCCTTTAAATTGATGATGATATCTGGCGATGCCAGCCTGATGCAGCAGCAAATGCTATTAGGACATATGATATCAGAGTGTACGCAAAACCACTGGAACGCCGGCTTGAGTATCATAGAAAACAGACGTGAAGAACAGATCAATTAAGTAACGAGTGCATATTTTTTTACCTCCCCCCCCACATATGTAGACTGCCAGTCTCCTGATTTTTCACACTTCATGCAACGCAATCTGACCTGAATCGGCAGACCTTTCCAGGCAAATTAACACTGTCGTTCCGGTCCACAGAAAATCGCTTTTTTTGCCAAATTTCGAACGTCTGCACTGAGCACCTTCCTGGTATAACGTTTCTTTTAGGCTCAAAATTTTCTAAATTAAAAAATAGCGAAAATCGCCGCGAAGTGTTCGGTATATTAAAATGGGTAAAATTAATTTCCGCTAAGCCAAAATATTCTTGCTCCTAACTGTCGCTGTGGTTCTACATGTTGCTACGGCCAACACAGAAGAATCAGTGCAGGCGGTAACACTTTTTATCAGATTGTGAGTACTGGAGTTCACTCCGCTGCTAAAGCAGGGGTTTACGGAAAATTTTCTATTTTGCTCACGGTGCGTTGCTATACATTCCCGTAACTGTAAGCACCTCGTACATTGTTGTTGAGGAACACCTCTAATTGGGATCAAACATAATGAAAGATTTTACCCAGCATGTCGTTAGGTTATCATGTCATTAGCCATCGCATTGTGACAGTTATTTAATATTCTGAACAAATGACAAATCTCACAAATATTTTGAACAAAAACGCCAGCACACACATATATAAACGGAAAACTAATAAGGTAGGACGTTAGGCAAAAAACAACTGGACAGCAGTTCATCCCCTATTATTGAAATGCTGCTCACATGATTGACCGTAAGGTTCTCTTGAGAATAGTGTTATTCGCAAAATAGCATTTGACACTGATTGTTTCACGCCGACCTGAAGCTTTCACCCTGTCGCGGTGATTTGGCTCCTGTGCCGCAATGATTCTGAGAACTATACTGAATGCATCTCAGGTCCTAAGGGAGAAATTCAATGGATAACGGCGAGTCACCGTATCGAATTACTCGGCGTTTGGAAGTTGAAGCCATACTTACATCTGTGATTGGAGTGTGAAGGCAAACAACGACTCCCCCAGGAAACCAGTATGTACATGTTTACCTAGGCGGCAATGGTGCCGTAAGTAAGATAGTAGTGCCTTATTCCCTTTGACTTCTGGCTTGGCCGGTCTCCTGCAACCAAGTGGGTTGACCTATGGAGTCACCGGCTCCGGGCAGTTTCCTTCAAGAAAATCTAACAACCGCTGCATCACTGTTGGGACTTTTGAGTCACAGGCGTGAGGCAGGGTCCCCGCAAACGAAACCCTACATTCCTCACTGCCTCAAGAGTAACTTTGGTGCCAAAGTCCTAATTAACCCCCTTCTTTGGCTTAGATGTCCCGGAAGTATGATTTTTTGTTGCAGGTCTTTGCTCACCAGCCTTCTCTTCCACCACCCTTCGGCCCACCGAACGACATGGTGCGATAAAATCCATTTGCCAATCCTCTAGCCAATATTTCTACCTCAAACAGTTACCCAGAAGAATAAATCAAAATGATCGCTTACTGACCTCAGAAGATCTGATGTACGTTGCATCCTTTGATGTCTATACTCAACGTCAAATCGGGAAACAAGTATGTCATGCAGGAACCTTGCTTTTTATTTCTTTGTCAACGCGTGTCGTGTCACTGAAACAAACAAACTAGACACTACCTCGTCAGTGCACCTCAAGCCGCTTATTTCGTGCAAACTGCTGATGCTGACGCGTAAACGATGTCCAGTTGATGTATCAACACAGGTCCAACGGATGGCATTTGAGAGACTTAGACGAACGGGTTTTATCAAGATCTGTCGCGACTGCTTTGGTAGGCAAGAGGGATACCTATAGTAGTCCTGACTGGTGGTATAAACGCCTATCCGGAAGAAGCGAAATTAGATTGTAAGTCTGAAATCGATGCTCAGTGTACGGATAATTGGAGGCGAATGCCTCAGTTGTGTTCAGATCACCGTCTGTTCCTAGACAGTATCGAATTCCGACAGAGTTGAAGATGAGCCTTGGACTAATTAGGATCAGTTACCAATAGGAAGCATCAGTTGCAGCGTCTCGTTCCTTCTTGGGTAACAAACTTGATTCTTATCATGCCATTGTGCTCACCGGGTTATCAAATCGCTTTTCGCCAGGAGTGCGCGTTTCAAAGCAGAGCAGCTTTACTCATGAATTTCGACATGTTTCAGTATCTCAAGGTTTTCGAGTTGATCTGGATATGAAGTTTACGAGCAACGCACGGACACGCGGGCGACGAAGATTGCGAACAACATTACTCTTTTTGGTTCAGATTCTTCCCAAGTAAATAAATTTGCTGCACAGTATGGCGTGCACTTCACACCAGTAAAGTGTATAGTGTGCTCCTACAAGACATGATGGTGCCAAACTCAATTTCTTGTTTTAAGACGAGCTAATCAAAGTGATAGAAAACATAATTTACGCGAACATGAAATGAGGTTACTCAGCGAATCAGGAAGGCCAGGGCAGCTCTTCCAGGACGGGACTCCAGTCTGTCGGTCAAGAGCAGAGTTTACACTCCCGCAGTTTGCTGTGAATCAGAAACTGTGTCTCTACGCCCAGAGGACATACGAAAACTGTCGGTGTCTCCAAACGTTGATCTTATCCGGTGGGCGCATCAGAATTATCGTGCTGATGATCCTATGGAGAGGGAACTCTCCCACAACAGACGAGTTACTCATGCTCCAAGGGTGAGTTGCACTTGGTTATCCAATCAGAAGTTTAGGACTTATTCTCGTTAGGGCTTCATTTGAGAGCCCATTGCTGGTGCCGGCATTTGGTTTCTCCAGGTTTATTACAGTTTAAATCAACGCAATGCAGTATGAGCTATGCTGATCGGCTGGAGCATTGATTACCAGATGTGGACGTAAATCTTATTTGATTCCTCCCACAATGCATTTAATTATGTTGGGTAAAATAATATGTATACAGGGCCTTTTGAAAAGCTCAATTCGGGATGACTCTTCAATGCAGTAGTTCCTCTGGATGCTGGAACATTGCACCTAGTGTAGATAGCAAAGTGGATTAGACCTTTTGAGGAGTATCCCAGTACTTTACTGTCCATGAAATCATCGGCAAGTTTCAGGCGAATAACTGATTTTCGCAAGGAACATGATTGAATTTGTCTCCCACTATTTCAAACATGACTTTTCACGTCGTGTTCTTCTTATGCAACTCTGATTAGGATTCCATTCTTCAACCCTAAAATAAAAGTAACCCATTAGTTTTTTATCGTGAGATTCCAGTAATTACAACATGTTTTGTTTTTTACTTTCAAAATGGACCCAGTTGTACCACTAGGCAGTCATACCTCTAGAGATTTCCTAGGATTTGCATCAACAGTCTGTTTTCGAAAAACAGCGCAGCTTCTAGTGACGATGATTATCTTCCATCAAATCAAACATGCTGTGTTAGGAACAGCGTTGGTTTCCCATGTTATTATAGCATTCGGTTAAACTATCGATGGTTTTGTTGTCTAATCCATTGACGCTAGAGAGAAAAATTATACCGTCCCAGAAAACGACCAGCTTTGAGTCAATTTCTGATCACCTGTATGGGGTGTGTTCCACCTTACCGCTAGAGTTTGTCACATATTGCTGGGTCTGGTTAAACTCAGAATATTCCGTAGTGCAATGGGCATTCAACAAAAACGCAAAATTCTAGAATAGTTGAAATACTAATCGAACGAAATGTAAACGTTATACGAACACTGCACTGGACTTTGACAACAGATTAGGGCGTTATGAATTAAAAAAGAAGAACTCATGACTGTTTGCGAATGTCTGGCTTACGAACCGAAAATCGAGCGGCATCAACTTGGTCTTGATCGCGATTAGAGACGTGGTCAACACGTTCTACTCCTTGGAAGGTTTTTAGGGACCCTGTAGTTGGTATTTTGTGAATGATAAATGTTGTACACTGGGCTGGAAATACATTGTCCTACCAAGTAGTCGCGGCAAGATTCATCTAAAAACATACTAGTTTGTAAAGTGGAAGCCCCCACCTAATTAGGGGCGTGACACGCATTTCTACAGCAGGATAAGCGCGAGTTCATGGACACGTTAATTTTCACCCTCTAAAAGTGAAAGACTCACTAAGCTTTTCTTCAGCAATCCACAGGACCGGCGTGGTTTAAATTAATGTACATAGCAATAAACCGGTTGGCCTGGTCATCTGCTAATGAAGTCTTCCGTAGGTGCCCCTTCTTGATCTATGTTTCAGAAATCGCATCATTATGGCTGTCTACGCCAAGCTATGACTCAGTCGCCGAAAACAGGAAATCTGCAGTCACTGATCACATTAAGTAGTCGCGTGGTGAACTGAACCTTGTAAATTTCAGTTCACTTTTGTCACAGTAATGTTATTCCACTAAGTATTCGAACGTTGATAAAAAGAAAAACCATATTTAGGCAAACACAGTAATCTGCACATCTATTGGATTTTTATGGAAGACTCAATTAAATCTCTCGTTTATAATATTCTTCAACTCAATGTGCTGCACAAGGTCGCATCGTGTTGCGGGTGGTACGATATTCGAGTTATTGAAGTATATTTCCGTAAAGTGAACTGTTCACAAGTTTGCCAAAATCCATAGCATAAAAAACATGAGGAGTTATTCGGCGAGGGCTATGATAATGGTCATAAGTTCCCAGCGATTAAGTAACTAAGTCGAAAAGATATTTTATCAGGTGCTTACAGTCCAACGCTGCCTGGAAATCGGCCTACCATTACTGGCTCTAATACGCCCTTCAAAGAAAAACTGCTAATGTGCATGCCTTGCCCTTCGATCTCCTGACGAATATTTTTAGTGGACATTAGAAGCTTGTTTCTGACGGTTCCAACGAATATTCAACAAATATCAGTTTTGTCGCATTCAGTAGAATTTGAATATTACACAGAAGTGTACACTGGTAAAGCTAGGGCTCACACCAATGTAACAAAGTTATCGGCAACTCACCAGGAGTAATTTTCTCAGCCGTGAGAAGATGAATGAGCTCAAAGTATGACAAAATCTCAACTAACCAGTCGGTGGCCTTGTTCTACGGTGCGTTTATGAAACCTTGAACCCTGCTCAGTTGTTTACTATCTCTGTGTATTTTATTAGCACGTGTACGTATGGATCAGTTCTATCCAAATGGTATTTATTGGCAGAACTAGTCCAGGTAGCTGCAAAATTTGAAGCCTTCAGGTCATTTGTTCTTATGTTAGGTGGACCACGCCGGTAAACTATCCATTCACCGGAATATAACTCTTCATTTTCAAAATATGGGCATACACTTCTGTTACAGTCACAGCTGGCAGTTTATCCGGCTGAAGCAACATTGCATGTAAAATCGGAACAATGTGGTATATGTAGACACCCGGCGATATTGTCAAAATACGGTCCGATTAGGTACCTAATTTGGGGACTACGTACGCGGGATGTAATTGTACCTGCTCGTCGTAAACCTATTGTCAAATAAAGTCTACGCGTGGCAGTAAAACCGTGTTTACGCAGTCCGACGCAATATTTATAATCTACCAACTACCATACTATGTTCAGCTTGAAAAGTGCATCCACCACTACTAATTAAACCATAGCGTGCTTTCCCACAATTTTCCGACTTCTTGCACCGATTCTCACATTGAACTGGCCAGAATTTTACGCTGGTCCAACCCCAACGTACCAATAATTTCTTCAACTGGTTTATGCATAGCGCACAACATACAACACACCTCAGAACACATTTTAATTTCGTAACTGCGCTAACCATTAATGCTACGTGCTACCGCTTCCCTATCACCTAAATTTGAAATAGTGTCTCAGGTTCACTTCCTACGAATTCTCCTGAAGCTCCGTTTGAATAGTGTGAAATTTCTCGTTTCACCTTTGTCAAGTGTTGCAGATTAAAATCGACCACCCTGCAAATCCTGCAAAAGTCAGCTTAGGCCATAATTCATTAAAATATTAGCATGCCTTGCGATTTTCGGAAAAGTAAACTAACACGTATTTCATCATATTTTCAAACTCTCAGATCGATAAGCTAGCAATTGCTAAATTCATTAAATCACGAGATTAATGTTCTTTCAAAACAAATTGGCTTTGCTTGCTGTAGATTCATGCGTGTACGTGAAATCAATTTAACCTGCATAGCTGAGAATCATTGTAGCGCTCTCTGGTCATTATGATAGCGATGCCCTTTTGCACAATGAAATCCCTAAAAATTCCCAAAACTCACAATACCAACGAACCGCACGTAGTACATAAGGATGAATAATTTGCATCACTGGCCAACCTTCCCTCTGAAAAGTCGTTTTCCCTGAATCCATTTAATACATAAATTTATGGTGTGGATTCCATGATATTTTGCGTCAAAGGGCCTCAACGGTACTAAATATCAAGTGAGAACTACAAAATTTCCCCATACTACAAAATATTCTATTTATCATTTAAGTATTGCCTCTACGAAAGCACCGCGGATCCATTAATAGTCGCAGCTCTAAATCACCAACAGAAACACATTACTTTATTTATCTAGCCGCTGAAACCGCCAAACAAGCACGTAACCTGTTAGAAACCGGCCAAAAACG